GATTCTGGTACTACCACAGAAGACGCTAGATCTACAATTGAAAGTGGTACTACTTCTGAAACTACTATAACTGACAATTCTGATACTACCACTGAAGACGGTAAATCTACAACGGATAGTGGTACCACTTCTGAAACTACTCCCACTGATAATTCTGATACTACCACAGACGAAACTAAATCTACAACTGAAAGTAGTACCACGTCTGAAGCTATTACAACTGATAGTTCTGATAGTTCTGATACTACCACAGAAGATGCTAAATCTACAACTGAAAGTGGTACAACGTTTGAAACTACTACAACTGATAGTTCTAAAACTACCACAGAAAGAGCTAAATCTACAACTGATAGTGAAACCACTTCTGAAAGTACTACAACTGATAATTTTGATACTTCCACAGGCGAAACTAAATCTACAACTGAAAGTGCTATCACTTCTGAAACTACCACAACGGATAATTCTGATACTACCACAGAAGACGCTAGATCCACAACTGATAGTGGTACCACATCTGAAACTACTACAACATATAATTCTGATACTACCACTGACGAAGCTAAATCTACAACTGAAAGTGGCACCACTTCTGAAGTTACTACAACTGAAAGTAGTACCACTTCTGATACTACCACAACTGATAATTCTGATACTACCACAGACGAAGCTAAATCTACAACTGAAAGTGGTACCACTTCTGAAACTACTACAACAGATAATTCTGATTCTACCACAGACGAAGCTAAATCTACAACAGAGACTACAACAACGACTGAAACTAGTACTACTTTCACTTGTAAATCCGCCGGTAGATTCGCCGATCCTGACGATTATAGCTGTCAATCTTACTTCCTCTGCGTACAATCGAGCAATGGATCTTACGCAGCTTATCAATACACGTGTCCTACTTCGTCTTTATTTAATCCAAATTTAAATATTTGCTCGTCGAGTTACCAATGTACTGTTACTACTACGCCCAAACCATATACATGTATGAATGCCGGAAGATTTGCCAATACTGACGACAGAACTTGTAAATCTTACTATCTCTGTGTGGAAAGCAGTAATGGCGTTTACACTTCATACACCTCAACGTGTCCATCACAGTCACTTTTTAATCCTATTTTAAAAATATGTTCAAGTAGCTACGAATGCGGAAGTTCAATATCAGAATCTAGTAGTACTACAACAACAACAACAACAACAACAACAACAACAACAACAACAACAACAACTTCTACTACTACAACAACGCCCCCTTCTCCAGCCTTCTCCTGTAAAGCCGCAGGAAGGTTTGCTGACTTTAATGATAACACCTGTAAAATATATTTCTTATGTGTATCGTCTCAAGACGGTACTTACACTCGGTATGAGTACAATTGCCCTGGTGCAGCAGTTTTTAACCCCAACTCTAAGATTTGTACGACTAGTTATAGCTGTAGAAAATAAAATTACTAAAAATATGTTTTAAATATCTTTATTACATGTTATCTATCATGTTTCATAATTTCTTAATGAAATAAAAATCTGATCCAGGTGTAAGTACTACGGGCAAAAAAACTACTAAAAAATAAAATAATTAAAAAAATATTGCACTTATGTCGTACCCTTGGTGTACAGCTACATTTAAATATAAGTCAAAAGTGTTTTAACACATGAATGTAATTAAAGTAATACGAGTATACATAAAACAAATTATGTAATATGTTAAATCTTTGAACATCTGTACTGCAAACGTGTCATTTTGCAGATGTAGCATTATGCAATAGGGATGCGATAGATGGTAATTTGATCCTTCATGTGATCCTCTAATATCTTTAAAAGTTGGTGAGCTTAGTTCCTGTTATTTGTTTTTAGTGCTTTTTAAATGGAATAAAAAAAATACTGTTAGATTAACGACACCAATTCGAATATTTAAATAGTAAATGCTGAAATTATGCCAATAAAAATTAAAATAATGTTTTTACAACAAAGTAAATAATTACGTTTTATTGATAGATAAAAACATCGACTGCGTTACATCCCTGTGTTAGCTTAATAAGATAAAGGGTATTGTTTGCTTGAGTTTTACGGCCACCTCAATTCTTTATATTCTTTATATTAAACAATAAGACGTATTTCAACAACAAATAAATACTATATTATTTGTCTCATAATTATGAACAAGACTACACGGCTGAGACAGATGGAACTATCAACCGCTAAGGGCGTGTTCCCACTATGTCGTGACGACAGATTGTCGTGCAGTTGACAGTGTCGTGGCTTGTATATATAAATGTAGTTGTTCACATATTATATAGCACGACACGATTAACTGTCGTTCACGATTTTTTATTGTTACAACGACAAACTGTCGTCACAGTGGGAACAGCTAGAACGACAGTCGTCAGACGGTAAAATAAACGTCACGATAAAAACGTGAAGACAGAATGTCGCAGCTCCTATTGTCGTCACGTTTTATTTTATACGTCACGTTATATTTTCTTTTCCTTGTTTGCTTCCTCTTCCGCATTTTTAAAAAGTAATATATTATTAAAATTTCGTCGTCATCCATTTCGAACGAACACCACTAACGCTTCCAAAAGAACATACAAGCAACTGCAGGACATCAAACGATTCTGTCGTGTAAACGACAAGGAGGCTGTCGTGAAACGATAAATTGTCGTCACGATCTAGTGGGAACAGCTAGTCACGACAGTCGTTCAACGAAAAAAAATCGACCACGACAGATAGTCTTGATATGGGAACAGGCTAGACACGACAGTCGTCCAATGATAATAAAACGTGACGACATAATGGGAACGCTCCCTAAGGAAGAAATGTTGTGTGGCATCTTTTGATACGAGAAACCGAACCTTTGCATTAAATCGTTTATGCTTTTTGTATGACGAGTGTTCTTTGTAATAGAAATCAAAGCAAGAAACCTCATTTATTCATTTATGGACCTTTTTTATGTGTAATATTGGAACATTTACAAATTGACAACTTTTTAGGACAGAGGCTTAAAGATTCTACAAACGAAATTATTCTTAATTTTAATATTTAATAGAAGAGTTATAAAATTAACGTACGTCATTTGTTTCACTTAGTTCGTATTATTTTAATGACTTGTTTTGACGTATGATGTTGCTTTATTATACCAAGGGTATGATAAACTGATTCGTGTGTCAGTATGTCTTGGCCAAAAGTATTGAGCATACATAATGGAAGCGAATTTTTATAACGATAGTGTACGTAGCATAGTGAACTTTATGGTCAATAATGTACGTACAAATTAGATCCAACGACGACAAGCCAAACAACGACGAGCCAAAATCTTCCGCGGAATGCGCGAGCATTCTCGAGTATGCGCGAGATTTCCGCGGAAGATTTTGGCTCCTATCTAGTTTTTACGTAACACAATTGACCATAAAGTTCATTATGCAATGTACAAATATCGTTATAAAAATTCGCTTCCATTCCGTTCCGCCGCAATATAAATTGAGCCTAAGAATTCCGAACGTGTACTATAAGTATTGCAGAAAGCAGGTCCTACTGTTTAAGGATTATTTTTATTGCATATAAAACACCAGGTGCAAAAAATTGCCATTTTACAATTTTTGTATTATTCCTCAGTTCGCTACTATCGTAGTGTACTATGTGTACATATATCCATCCAGTGATGTGTTGTGATGTTTTGATTTGGTACATACGGTGATATTATTGCAATATGCCCAAGAGAAACGAACTTAGTTTATAACAACGTGAATACACAGCTTCTGTATGAGCAAGGGAAATCACTGTTAGAGATTTTTAAAACTGAAGTGAAATATTCGCGCCGTTCAATGTAATATGCTATTGAGCGATTCGATGTTAGCGGATTTGATAGTAATATACACAGAACAGAGTGCAAACGCATCACTGCAGTACGTACGTAAAAACCGAAAGATAATGAATTAATTAAAAATAGGAAGAGAGTTCTTCAAACCTCGCTGTTGAGTTGTCAACCGAAATTAAGAGACCGATTTCTGCTTGTACCACTCAAAGAAGGCTTCTATAGATGTTATTTGGTTACAAATATTGGTAGTAGTAGAGAATTTTTCGCCCTCCTAGAATCTTAGATTTTTTTTTTTAGTTTTTGGCGATGCGAACTTTTTCATCGTCATCCCACCTTTTTATCACCCTTTATTCTCTGGTTCCTGGACTTTGAAATTTTGAACAGTTCTTAAATTCCTTTTTCTACTACGTCACTTATTTTTCTTCTTTCCATCGCCATTCTCTACTAAATTTCTGAACCGAGCGCACGTGCTCGTGGTGAAATAAAATTCTGACCAGTTAAATCATGTTACCTAACGGCTTGTAAAGTGTACTTAATATTTGTAGTACCACTGGGAATCATGTAACTGAACTGCTTATAAAGCATAGTATTTCTAGAAATTACAGGCCTTTTTGGGGTAAGTTCCTATTTACCTTAACCTGTTTCTAATTTAAGTAGGGAGTGTTTTTGTACGATTGCACCTGTTTTTATATCATTATGTTTTGTAACAGTCTTTACGACTTTATTTTACCTGTTTCGTTCCCTCTCTGTACTCTTTCTTGATTTCTGCTATGAAATTCATGTGAATCGAGCCTTGTATCTAGTTACGCGAGACCCGCATGATAAGCTCATTCGATTTGTCCGAATTTCGAAATCCGAAGACGAACTAAGGTCTAAGACATAGAACTTATCATGGAGCTAGGCAGATCATGATGTGAGACGTGGTGAAGAAAGATGGAGGAAAGCGATAACCGAATAGTGACCACGACCGTCGTTTAATCTTAATTGCACAATAAATCATGTCTTTTTTATGACTCTCAATACAGATTAATATAAACGGAAAACTTCGTAAAAACGGGCCTGTTTACAGGAAATTCTACAAGTGTTCAAAAATTGGACCACTGAATAAAAATATCATAGTTCTAGTTTTATTAGTTTTTATAGTTCTAGTTTTAGTTTCATGTAACAAATTTTTTATGCAGTCTTTTCTGTTCATATTGATTGCTACTATCACCTCATGACCACCTCTCAATAAAGAGCGTTCGGCCTCCCCGCACAACATGCCATCGCTTTCCTGTGAGTCTGGCGCTCTCTGCAGGCTTAGCATGAGCCCGAAGACAAAATTTATCTTTTCTTCGATGACAGTTCTAAGAAGAGATAACTTTTGTCTTCGAGAGAAAATTGATATTTCGAAGAAGAGATAACTTTTGTCTTCAGGCTCACGCTAAGCCTGCTGGGCAACACTCTGCGAGTACCTTACACCTATTAGTAAATCTTTTAACCACGATGGCAAGCACTACAGTGTATGCCATCGACACGATAAGAAGAATGGGTTACTCTTTGTAAATAAACATTTGTACACATGTATCATTTACAATATTGATTTCAAATGTCATAGATTTATACAACC